TAAGTAACGCTCGATATCGTTAATTTGTAGATGCAAAGGCTCGCTTTGAGAACGAGTGTTTGACATACAACAGAGGGAAATATAAAAAGTTGCCTTAGTCTAGACAGCGTTGTTTTCAGAATACACTAGTGACTAAACTAAAGTCCCCGACAACGGCGCCAAAAACTTGATGTACGATTGACCTAATGTGTCTAACGGTATCTTAACTGCAAGTGCACAGTCTATCGCGGTAGTAATAAAAAGATGTCCTACCCACAGGGACTTCGTAATCACTCTAGTGTTATGAAACAGGTTAGTTTAGCTAAGGCGGAAATTGTCACATTTGGTTTTTAGAAGTTTAAAACTAAAGGAGAAACTAAATTCAATTAAAAGAATTATAATATTAAAGTGGTCGGAGTGTAATGTTTTGAACCTATGCGAATTAAATTGTACCTAAGCATATAAAAATATTTAACTTAAATTGTTCTGTAGTACTTATCAGTTTAAAAACCCTCGATTCACACTCTCGTGGTCTTACCTAGGATCATACTCCTAAAGCCAAATGTCTGCTCTCGCTAGACCATAAGTGTTTAGAAAACATCTTTTTGAAAACTAAATAAATCTAATTCGTTTTAAAGCGCTCTCGCTGTATTTAAATCGAATGCCTAACTTTAGCTATCCGGTTAAAACCTCACACTCTCGTGGTCTTGATTTCTCCCTATTTTACTTTCCTTACTCTCGTAACAAAAAGCTTAATTTTTAATTATAAAAAGTCACGGCCATAAATTAAGTTAATTAAGGTTTTAGCTTAGAAATACATTAATTCATTCGGTTATTTCATCACACCCCGACTACGGGTATTTAGCTACTCATAATGCTCGGAATTAAAATGCGGAAAATAAAATCAGAAAACAATAACACATGCATTATAAATAAAGAACAAAAATTTAACATAAATAAATTGCAATTATATTGAATACGATAAAAAACCTGAAAAGCAATAATATCCTAGATCCTTCTTCCACAAGCCGGTAAGATCGGAACGTCGAAATGAAAATTAAATAAACAAAATGCTGAGGCTTGAAAGAAATCCTAACTACAATAGCAATTTCCTGATGTTGGAAATGCTATTAAAGGTTCTGAAAGGAAAGGGAATAACAAGAACAAAATAAAATCGGAAAATAGAATCGGGTTTTAAATCGGCAGAGCTTCCGCAAGAATTTTCTGAAATGAACTCTGTTTTTTTCTTTCAAGCTATTTATAGAGAATGAATACAGTTGGAATTATATTTCACGTTGCTAGATTCTTGGCTTGCTGAGAAAAATAAGGAGAAGGTGGTCTTGGAAGTTGGAGAAAAATAAGGCACACATGCATGCTTCGTTACTTGACCACGTACTGCACGTTCAAAATAACTAATAAAATGCTTGTTACGGTCGTGGCTGGTGTGTTACGTGCAGATTCCATGAAATAACGCGTTACGATCGTGGCCAATGCATGACGGTCGTAACATGCTTCTGAAGTGTCTTACGGTCGTGGCAAGGGTGTGACGACCGTAATAGCAGCAAATTTTGGATTTTTGACAGATTTATCTTTTCTCTTCTGGTCTTGGCCGCAATCTTGTACATTTCACATTTCTTTCTAGTTTGAGCTGAGATATGTTGTACCTGCATAAAATCATACAAAACTCGGAGTATTCGGGAGTTAATCGGATCAATACGATATAAAGCGGTTTAATTTCATAGTAAATATATGATACGATTTCTCGTTATCAATCTTTAGAAGTTAAAGGTTTTGGAAGTGAATCTGTTGTTATTAGAATGATGGATGTTTTAATTTTGAAGAAAATTGATTATTAATGGTATAGCATTTACAAATTTTGATAAAAACATTATTTTCTTGGTGTATGAGGTTTGTGTTGAATTATAATGGTTATAAGGTTTATGTGTTGAATTGTAATGGTTATAAGGTTTATGTGTTGAATTATAATGGTTATAAGGTTTATGTGTTGAATTAAAGGTTTGTGTTGAATTATAAAGGTTTGTGATATATTTTGAGAAAAATGTGATTTTTTTGATGTATAATAGTATATAGCAATATTTATAAGGTTTGTGTTGAATTATAATGGTTATAAGGTTTATGTGTATATAACTTGGTTCTGATGCCTTTTAATTTATTGCTTTTGTTTCAGATAGGTGCAGAAGATAGAGATAACAAGTTACTAAAAGTTATTGATATGTGCAGAAGACAAGTTCATAGTTTTTTAGCTAGAGTTGGTGATACTAAGCAAGTTGCACACCATAGAGTATGCACTATTAGAGCATACATGTTGTATTTGGTTGGCACAAACATCTTCGTGGATAAGAGTGTCACATATGTCGATGTGGTATATCTACGATACTTTGACCATTTAGAGCGGGTACATGAGTACAATTAGAGGGCCACATGTTTGGTACTCCCTCTGGTCTCAAATATAAGAAACAAAAAAATTTCAATGGTCTTAAATATAAGCAAAAGTCATTTATAATTATTGCATTCAATGTCGTTATTTTGAATATACCTTTACTTTTTCACATTTTTTTTTATTTTTAACGATTTCCAAAGTAAAAAGTAGGGGTAAAATTAGAAAAGTGTAAGACTTAAATGCATTTAAACATTTTTCTTAAAGGGTGGACTTTTTTTTTTTGTAAAGTTGCTTATATATGAGACCGGCGGGAGTATACTTGTACTCTAAGTTAGGCGAAGGTTGTATGTGGAAGACGAAATAAGTGATAGACAACAACACACTTTTGGCGGTAATATTTAAGTATGATTTAGTGTCATTTTCGTAAGACTTAAAATATACGTCTATTTTGCATCTTTTACTAATTATTTAAACTTACCATTTCCAGACTTAGATTCTTTAGAACTTTCCACACATATCTGGATGGTGATATGTGCCAATCTACACTAAGGATATGCCACGTTCTATGGCATTCGCCCAACTCAGAGGGACCTTGACAATGCATCCATACAAATTGTATCTTGACTGCATGGTAGCAGAGGATATGCAATTTAACGTGTATGTCTTTACTGTGAGACGCATCCATTAGACGACAATGCCTTCTACTCATGTTGGTTAGCTTGCAGTTCACGTTTGACGTATCCTCATCTGTCCGAGCGCGTCATGAGGCAGCTTAACTACATACAACTTGTTCCCAGGGACCCTTCATATTATTCTCCTCCGACTATGATACGCCGAGATATGAATATTGTGTTTCATGGTTTATCTTTTTCACATGGTACCATATGAGGCACGAAGTACCCTAGCTTCTAGTGACTGAATATTGTACACAACTACATTCTATGGTACTTATGGTGTCACGTCCTTATATGGTATCAGATGTCCTAAGAGATATACCTAATTCAACTCATTAGGAGATACTTGAGGAGGACCAGACTATGGTTGATCATGTTGTTGATGTGCTGCCTAGATGTCATTGTATCGTGGAGATTTGACAGACAAATATAGACATCCGACTATTTTTGAATGGCTCTGAGGTGATAAACGTTATAAATTTCATGTTGGAGGGGAGGGGGATAGGGCACAAAAGACAATGCAATACAAGAGACAACATAGGAACATGGAGGTCGCAATGCGTCATACACAATAGTGTATGATTTTTGTATTAGGAGCACTGTTTTCCGTTCTCTTTTATTTGTACTTTATTGTGTACTCTGGATATGTCATTTTTATATTGTTCTGAAAGTGTGCGGCTTAAATTAAACAAAGCAATGTCATATATCGTCAAATTTATCAGAGCATCTCTTAATCAAATGAAGAAATTATTTTCTGACGTGGTTCCGAAGATGCATCTTCATAATTTCTTTGGTGTGATCACAAAGATGCATTTTCGGATCAATTCTTGTCAACGGAAGGCATTTACTGAGAAATGTATGTGGTGTACATTGAGTGGTTTCGAAGATGCATATTCGAAATAAATTTTGAACAACATTAGTGTGATACTAATTTTGATTGCGTTTGAGAAAAATATATGGTGCGTCCGAAGATGCATCTATAGAACTGGAGTATTTTCATAGGGAGCTTTTCCAACATATAGGATAAGGTTAGCCATTCCCAAATTCGTAATTACTTTCAAGTTATTTGATTGGTTTGTACTCTGTGTTCTTTTTTAAGTGTCATTTTAACATAAAACTCTTCAATCAAGATTGTGGATTGTTAGAGTTGTTTTTCCTATTATACTCTTATTTTTTTCCTCTTTTTAAATAAATTCACTCATACACTCTCTCTTTTTTCAATAACTAATTGAAAAAAATAATTAATTTTATGGAAAATATGAAGTAAAATTATTGAGAAATTAAAAATATGATTAATAAATTATAACATTAAACTATAAAACAATATTTAAATGAAAACAAAAAAAAATTCTTTTAAAACAACATTTAAAAAGAAACGGATGAAGTATTTGAAAAGAGCACGATAATAAGCTCTTTGGCGGTGAATTCTTATTTCTTACTCAGATTTTAGATCATGTGCAAATCAAGTATAGTGGTGGACTAAAGTAAAGTTCAAAATTTTCTCCTTTGATATATAGTATTGGTTGTCTAATCCTTTAAGCTACTTAGTTTCTTTCCTCCTTAACTCTCTCTCTCTCTCTTTTGTTTGTATTCCTTTGTTTTATTCTCAAATCTCCTTATCTAGAATAGATCTTTAATACAATCTTTTGACTTATTAAAAAAGAGGACATTGATTGTCGTATTTTTCTTCTGTTAATGGTGACGAATAGCTGAGTGGAATTTTAAAAGGAAGTAGAACTATGCTTGCAAGTTGCAACTTACAAGATCTTCAACAACTTCATCAACCAAAATCTTGAGAAGTGGTTAGACTTAGAGTGATACCATTGGCACTTACAAATTACAATTGTCAATTAAATTATAAACAGCCTAATGTGCAACAAAAAACTGATATAGCCAAAATCTTGAACATTAATCAATTCTCGGAGGAATCTTCAGACTCCAAACCATTAAGAGACAGATACCGCCAGTAGTTCTTTGGCTATACTAATGAATTCCGTCATGGGGCAATTTGTTTTAATTGCATTTGTGATTATGTGAGACCTGCTGGCAGCATAACCTTTCTGCAATAAACCAAGTTCAAGATCAGTGAATGTCTGGTTTCTAAAGCTTCTCTAGAATAAACATGATTACCTGAACAATCTATGGTTCAATATCTCATCAAACCAAACATGGTAAACAAATTGACGATGATAACCTCATAAATAATAAAAGGCAACTCCATTCGTTTTTACTTTATAGACCTTCCAACCCACGTAATGTGAATAACTAAATTTCAAAACAGTTGTCTCCCTTTGCCTTAGTCAAGAATCATTTTCAAAATACATTGATTTCTCAGTTCATGAACAGCCAGATGAAATCAAATATCAAATCTATGCCAAACTCTTAAACCCACAACCTCAAGCCTCCAAAGAGACACACAGAGAAGAGATGGAGCACTTCACCCTGACATGACAACCATAAACACTAACCACCTAGACTCCCCATACCATGCAGCAAAAGAAAAACTATACCTAACAAACATATGAAGCGTATGTTTGGATCCGCGTCTTATGCTCTCTATTCTCACGTTCCAAGAAGCTTTTGATGTGAAAATTTAAAAGCTATGAGCTGAAGGTTCTACGTTAATGCAGTTTTTTGATGCAACTTTTCCTAACGTGACGCGGTACAAACATGTACAAAGTTGGTTGCATTTGAATAAATATAATAGAATATACTATTGAAAATATGAGCTTGACATTGTTTTATAATGTCAAGTATTTATGGAGCTAGATCATATAAATGCAATTATCGACGATCCTTTAACACGAAATTTGAAATAGAATTAAGTTAAATAATGTATTCTCATGAAACATATATTCAATTATGACCACAACTATGACTTGATTGTTTTACCATATTAAAGAATTTTTAGAGTACCTCATGTATGGCGCTCATCAAGCTCCTCAGAGGCGGAGTATTGATTTTCGCACGGCTTGCCATCTGGATAAAAACACATAAAACTAACCTAACTCATTATTCTCGCCAAAGTAGCTAACATTATTTACAATGCAACAAAGCTAAAAGAACCACCTCATCCAACTTTATATACCCAGATGGCAACCTGGGGTCACTTTCATCCACCATCAAGTTTATAAGCTTTTCAAGACTGTCTTTACCATCACAGCCAATCCATCCCCACTGCTTGGCCAGATCTAACATGTCTGTAAGATACGCCGCATCATGGAGAGGCCCTGTCCAAAGAGGTCCTGATACCTTGAGGGAGTTTGAAACCTGAAAAAATGAAAAGAAATAGGGTACTTTATCCATTTGTATGAAGTAACATTTTAATTTGCACAAATAGATTATACAAGTATCAATAGTTTTCCTAATTCATGTTCCATAAACCTTTCACTAAAACAATAAGCTGAAATGGTAAAATAAAAGTGTGAAAAATACCAAAAGGGCGGTTTTTAACCTTAGTTGTATTGTGTTAATAACTTACGAGTACCAAGTAAAAGGGAAAAGCAATTAATATACTCGGAACTGATCATGTTTTATGCAGTAACAGTTTAAATAGGAATTTCGGATTAAAAAACACACAAGTTATCACATTGATCAGAGAAGTTATTATCTAGCGACATTCCTTATCAACACTAGCTACAATTCACAAAGATAGTTTGCCAATAAATAGACATTAAAAAACCTCTAGTTAGTTTCAAACAAACCATACCGTACCTTTGACACACTGCAGGAGCAACTGAACTGACCAAGTTGGTCCCAAGAAAATTCATTGGAATTTCCACACTGGTGGCAATGGCCTATAAAACCATAATGTCTGCAGCAATCACAATAGAAGTAATAAAGAAGAGAGTAACTACATAAAACTACCAAACCGAAACAACAAAAGATGACACAAACACAAGGATTCATCACCTACTATCATGAACCTTCCCACGATTCAACCTGAGCAAAACTCGGAAAACAGGTCCGTGATAAGCATAGTACGAAAACAACGGAGTTACATGGTACCCCAACACAGCAGCCTCCCGAACAACCCCACCTATAAGCATTCGCAAACCAATCTCGTTCGAATACGGCATCGGACGCACATACGCTCCATAAGCAGCTAAAGAACTAAACAAAAAATAAATCAGTTACAAACCACAGGCCAAGCAAGGGTCCCAAATCCACTACAATTTACAATACAACATACACATATCCAATCAGCTATTACGTTACGCAAACCAATAACACCGATACCAAGTGTCAGTGTTTCCAATAATGTGGATATGTCAGTGTCAGTGTCAGTGTGTGTGCTACATAGCAAACCAAACAGTCAAAAAAAATAATAAACTGAGAAAGAAACTCATTCATACTGATGAGGACGGTGGCCACCAGAAGAGAATCCATCCGTGGAAGTGACATAAAGCAGCCCCCCAAATTTCAAACAATTGATAGCAGACCTCAAGAAAGAAGAATCACTTCCAAAAGAATCGACATCAATAAAATCAAACAAACTCTTCTGAAGATAATACTCAGTCATAACTCTATTAGCTTCCAAATGACTAACCACCCATCTCTTCTCCTCTTCCGCACAAACCCTATTCAAATTCTCCACAATGATACTCCCATAACACTCATTTCCATCATTAGCAGCAACAAAATCAGCTTCAGATTCCTTCAAATACCTCAACGACCGAATTCCACAACCACAAAGAGCATCAAGAACACGCAAGCTTCCACTATCCTTCTTCTGCAATGAAGCAGCAAGCACACCGAGGTCTCTCCCAGTAGCACTCTCTCGCCGGTAAAATGCGCCGCCGGTATCAAACTCTAAACCACGTTCCGTTTGAAAACCATTTCCGGGAGAAAAACTACCGCATTGACACCGAAAGCGGTACTGCGGAATTTGAGGAGAAAAATGCGAAGAAAAAGCTATAGTTAACAGCATTGCGTCGGAAAACGATGACGGAAAACAAGAAACTGAAAATTTGTCTTTCTTAACGCCGTGAACGGTTACACGTGTAATGGAACCGGAGTTTATGAATTTAGGAAATTTAGGAAATTTGGGATTAAGGGTTTGAATTGAGAAAAAAGAGTTTTTTTTTCTTTGTTCTTATCTTGTTTTATTTTCTTCCTTTTTTGGAGTTATATAAAGGATTGAAAACGTTGATTCTGACCGATTAGAAGGAGAATGAGCAGCTATAAATCTCGTTTTTGATAGGAAATGTGGGGTCTACTGAAGGTGGAGGGTTTCTCTGATTAAGGTTTTGATTTCTTCTTCTTTCTCCTTTTGCTGTTAATGAGTGTTTTAGGTTAAGCAGTTCTGTATCAGTTTATGTAGCTGAAATCTTTTCAGGTTTTTTTTGAGGTAAATTCAATCTCTTCTCATTGATTTTGTGAACTTTTGTTTGATCATGATTAGACCTAGAATTCTTGTGATTGGACTCAAATGGGTTTCATCAGTGACCTAAAAGTTTGTTTTTATTTGAAAAAATTGTTGATTGTTGTTCAATGTAGATTGTTATGTATGGTTCTTTTCATTGTTTAGATTACTGATTGAGTATATGGTTGCTTTCTTGCTTGAAAAAAGGGGTATTTTGTTCATTTGATTTAGGGCTAGGGTTTCTGGTGTCATTTTGTTCTATCCTTGATTGAATTTGAATATGAATATCTAATGTCATGTTTGTGCTATATACTGTAATCTACTGTTTAATCCATTCTGCAACTGTTCTACTTTGCTTATCTATACTTGTTTTGTAGTTTGATCTATAGCTTTTGTAGCACACAAGCCTTGTTAAGTTGAATTTAGGGTTTATGAACTGCTTGATTTTATAGATTTGCATGGCTGGCTAGCTGTGAAGCTCTTCAATTGGATCGGTTTGAGGTTAATAGTCTGTAACATAAGTGTCTCAATCAGTAACCATGATTGTTAATTTTTTTAGCTCAATAGTAGAATGGATCTAACTGATTGAATGGATTTTGGAGCAAAGATGAAATCAGCCCTAAAAATTCCCCTTTTTCTGGGTTAGGGTTTTTCTCACGCTCAGCTATACAACTTGTTTCTAACATCCGTCACTAATGAACTCACATCAACAAACTCATTTTCGATCTTTTTTTTTTTTGTCTTTTAAATTATGTAAGAATGACACTATAGATTGAAGGTGTGTCTGATGTCCAACGCGTATCAGTTTGGTGTCTGATACGTACCAACACTGACACAATATTGACACACATGGATGTAACTACATTTAATCGCTTCCATTTTCACTTTATTGATGAAGCTGACATGTTGGTGTCGAATTTGGTGTTCGTGTTTGTGTCCGTGCTTAGATACTTTTCAATATTTCCAGCTTTCCTATCCACTGTTGTGTTTGTGTTATCTAATCTTGGTTTTATTTGCAGGACATCTGAGTTCTGATATTGGCTGCTATGGATACTATACAAGAAAATTTGTTAGCATCCTCCTCGCCTAACCAACCGCACTTACCAATTGATGAGGAGCTTTGGTTGATGGCTGAAGAGAGGGCCCAGGAAATACTATGTACAATTCAACCTAATGTTGTTTCTGAGGTGAACAGAAAGCAGATTATTGATTTCGTTCAGAGGCTGATTGGAGGTTACTATGGAGGAGAGGTTTGAATATTTTGATTCAGTTTTTCATACTTGTAAACTTCGATGGTTGGAGTTGGTTATGCCTTTGATTTTCTCTTATTTTAATCAGGTTGCTTTCTTTTCCACAGATTTAGTTGGGTGGTTTTTGATGTTTTCTGCTTTGTTTGCTATTTAAAATGGATTGGTTGATACAAGCACGGTTTTACTTCCTTAAGATGTCATTTTACTTATTTTACTGCCTATATTTCATCACCATGCCTACTACTCTTTTCTTTTATACATGTCCGTATTTAAATTTAACTTAAAATATTCTTGAAGACCAATCTTATCGTTTGCAAGCCGAGAAGATCCACGTAACCCTTATTTATGCAGGCTGGCTTCAACTTTCCATTCAATGTGTTTTGTCTTTGTTAAGAGTGTCATATTGGATGACTTGTGATTTGAAAAAGTGTTTATAAGTGAGAGAAACTCTTCACGTTACCAGTCATCTTTGTAATGATGAATTAGGCTCAACATAAAACCTAAAACTGTATCTGAGATTATCCAAGATCCGGTGTTGTTAAATAGCGTCTAATATTTTCTTAGTTTGAAGCACATGTGGTTATTATTTCTGTCTCCTGGTAATCAAGTTAGAAATGCTTGAATTGAATAATGTTGAGGTGAGTTCACAATTATTCGTTTACTCGGGTGAACATTTATTGATTTGAAGAATTTGACCCTATTTTGAAAAAGCACTTGCCTCCATTTCAAAAGCTTTAAGGTGCCAAAAACAAATTGGTTTCATTATGTGCATACCGTTACAGTGGTGTCTATAAATGAACGTTTTATCTTTTGTGTGCCAACTACAGGTATTTGTGTTCGGATCGGTCCCACTAAAAACCTACCTTCCCGATGGAGATATTGACTTGACAGTTCTCAGTCAAGAAAGTGTAGAGGAGGATTTAGCACAAGCAGTATGCAATCTACTTGGAAGTGGAGAAGATCTTGAATACGAAGTGAAAGACATACAGCATATACGTGCGCAGGTTTAGAAACAAAATTTCTATTTAAGTTGTTATAGTTATTGAATTTTGATTTCTTAGCATCTTCATTTATCTATACTCTGAAATTGCCTTATAAGATTTTTCATTTTGTTTTTTTACTTGTAAATTATGTATCTTCACCTAGCAGTCTAGCATCAACAACATATTTCTTGTTACCTAAAAAAACAACATATTTGTTTTTTCCTTTATTTCTGCAATCAGAAGAATCTTAAGTATATCCTTGCCTCTAGAACATTCTGAAAAGTCACTCTAGATCATGCTACTCTTGAGTTTGAAAGGAAAGTTTCTAGAAATAATCGAAAATCTGACAACTCTGAAAGTTATGTCAATTCGATAAGACAGGTCCCATGCATACGTCAGCATTCCATTTTCTAACTACTAAGGCTAATGTTAATGTTTGTATATTATTAAAGATCAAAGTTGTTTTTAATGCTAGTGCTTGTTATTATTAGTAGCAGTATTCTATTATAATGTAATTTAAACGAAAGATTGGACCGGTTAATTCTTAAACTATCTGGAGCCACCTAGTTTCATTTAGTATTTCCAACTACTACTTCAAGCATTTTAGGTTTCTATTTCTTTTGGGCATGTATACCAGGTTAATTTGAGCTTTGAGGCCTTAATTCTTTACCCATTTATGTTTCTGCTACCTAGACTATTAGTCATTCATGTTGGTGGAATAGACTAAATAGGATTTTAAGCATCTCTTTTATTGTTTGATTTACTGTGAAACAATGATTGAAATCTTTCAATTGAAATCATGTACTGATGGACGCTGCATATGGAGTTTGGTTATGTATTGTAAAAGGATGGGAACTTAGCCTTGCCATTTCACTTACACATAACCTTGATTGACTTAAGATACATTGGCAGATGAGGAACATGGCAACAACAGTTTTGCTTCCAGTGTTGTTAAATAGCGGCGTTTTAACGCTATATATTATTTCTGGAATGTTACATTTACATCCTGAATCTATGTGAAAAAGGGCATCTCCACTGCTGTCATTGCTTCTTTACTTTTTATATTTAAAATTATTCCTTTTCTAGATTTTTATGATAGGAAAATAGTGTTTAATGTTTTAATAAAATTAGTACCTATCAACTTTATACGCTTTCCTTTTTTATGCTTGGATGTTGGATGCAGGTAAAGGTTGTAAAATGCACTGTGAAAAGTATAGCGGTTGACATCTCTTTCAACCAGATGGCTGGACTCTATGCTCTACGCTTTCTGGAGGAGGTAAAACTTGTTTTTCCTAATTAATATTTAAAACTAGTTCATCTTGTGAGTTGAATATACCATGAGCTTAAAATCTGTAAGCTTTAATTCCACTCTTGTTACTGTTAGTTTATATAAATCTGAAACCTGATTACTGTAGGACTATTATGCGGTTAATTAGTTTGTCTAAGTAGTAAATATATGAAATCATATGCCATGTTAGGATTGTCATTTCATCAAATTTAAGTATAGATTTTCCTCCATTTAGCCTATGTTTTTAAACTCGGCATGGAACAGCAAAACCTAAAAAAACCGCGTCAGGCTGCGCCGTTCTGTCACAGATGGGTGACTCGGCTGGAACGACCATGAAAATAGGATTGGATTCGGAACGACACCTTTCTGACGTGGCTGCTCCGGCCGCGTCAGCCGTATATGATAATATCCTTAAATTTTTAAGGATAACAAACTTATTTTATTGGCATTTGGAAGTATGTTTTCCTTAAGACTTATAGTTTTTATTTCTAAAGATGAATACTTCGTGAATTTGATTAATTTATTTTAGCTTTTAACAAATACATGTTTATTAGTATTAATTGTTAGTGTCCAGGTCACTCAAATATCGTCCGTTCTGCTTACTGCTTCTGTTCCGTTCCCTTTTTGGGGATGGATAGCATTTAGCTTTCTTGTCATTTTCTTTAAATGTTGTTATATATTTGATTTTGCTTCCCCTTTCCTCCCTACAGTTTCTACTACTTGACTTACCTCTATTTCTGGGGTCCATAAAGATCATATAGAGAATACCATATATTACATTTGTGTGCCTCTATTGAGTCTGATTGATTTATAGTGGTCTCAACTCAACGTTTGAGTTCATTGTTTATATAGCCTCCTTATATTCTCTTTTCCTGTGCATTTTTTCTCATATTCAAGCTTTGCTAATTCTTTTTTGGTTAAAAAAAAAAACTCAGGTTGACCAACTTGTCGGGAAAAACCATGTCCTCAAACGCAGTATAATCTTAGTCAAAGCTTGGTGCTATTATGAGAGCCGACTTCTTGGGGCACACCATGGCTTGCTCTCAACATATGCACTTGAAATATTAGTTTTATATATTATCAATTGTTTTCATTCATCATTGTGCGGTCCTCTAGAGGTGAGTGAAGTCTTCCACTAATATTCTTTCGACTCTTTTAGCATTTGTAATCATATCTGCATAAAGAATAAAACCACTGAACTGCTGCTACTAGCAGGTGCTGTACAGATTTTTGGACTACTACAGCACATTTGATTGGGAGAAAAATTATATCACCATAGATGGTCCACAACCATTATCCTCCCTTCCAGAAATTGTTGGTAAGTGTTATGGGGGCTGCATAAGCTATTGGATGTAGTTTATTCAGTGGAATTGTTTATTTTCAATCTTTGGTCCTTGATACCAACTTGTTGCAGAGAAACCAGAATCTGATCGAGGTGGATTGCTGATCAGTAAAGAGCTTCTGAAAAATTACAGGGATATGTGCTCTGTTTCAAAGGCGTGTGAGACTTCACTCCGTGAGTTTCCCATCAAGTGCATGAACATTTTGGATCCTCTAAAAAGTGACAACAACCTAGGCCGCAGTGTCAACAAAAGTAATTTTTTTCATTAAAGCTTCAATTGATTGTGGTGAATATTTTTATTTGTAATTTAGTTGCTTGTAAGCCAACTTCATATTTTACTATGAAAACATCGTTAAGCTCCCATCAATGTTGCATGCTAGTGACAAATACAGTATATACTAATTGATATTACTTGGTAATTTTAATCCTAATAATAAACTCAAATCCTAATAATAAATATTTAGAGTTGATTCTTTGATTCTAACTCACTCGTCAACCTTTACCTTTCTTCCTGCAGGTACTTTACATCGAATTGGTTACGCCTTTGCCTTCGGTGCTGAAAAGCTTAAGGAGATTCTTAACCTTCCAGGTGAAAGCATGGGTGGAGCACTAGAGGTGTTTTTCATGAACACCTTGAATAGAAATGGGAAAGGGCAAAGGCCAGATATCGACGTTCCTGTTCCTGCATTTGGTACTGGAAGATCTGAAGAACCTGTCCTTGTTGGAGATTGTGACAGTTTCTATGGTGGCTTACAACATGCTCAGATGTATCGTAACTATGCTATGCCATTTGGTGCACCTTCGAGTTCCCCACCGATGCCATTTGATGCTGATATGCTTAAGGTACAACAAAACTGGTTTAGGTTTTATCATAGAAGTACTGCATTAGTCCCTAGGCAGACATTCTTTCATCCAAATGCTCCTCCACCACCAACTTATAGCCTTGATGAAATAGGGAAATCGCGAGGAACAGGCACATACATCCCTGACATGGTAAATTGCTTTTGTTTTCAAACTTTTTTTTTTGATGAAGCTTTTGTTTTCAAACTTAATTTATTTTATGATAACTCATTTTATCAGTCTCTAAATGGTTGCATGTTTCTGACTCAGACTCTTACTACCTACTGGAATGCCCGTGCAAGAGGATCCAGACCAAGGAGATTCGGTACCGGGAATAATAACAATAATAGTAATAGTAATACTAATGCATTGCCCAAACAATTGGAGAAAAAGGAAATAGAAGAGGTTCCTTCTGAGACTGACATGAATGATAATAGCTCCAAGTCCTTTGAGCTCTCAAATGAAGATTTTCCTCTTCTCTCAAGCATTGGCAACAGCACTTCGTTAGCATCCCAAAAATCAGAGAGAAAGGAAATAGAAGAGGTTCCTTCTGAGACTGACATGAATGAAAATAGCTCCAAGTCATTTGAGCTCTCAAATGAAGATTTTCCTCTTCTTTCAAGCATTGGCAACAGGAATTCGTCAGCATCCCAACAATCCGAGCTGCACCATAATTCCTCATCGCCTCAAATGTTTCTCGAGTTTGGAACTCACAGCATCTCACAACCAGCGACAGAAATGAGTTTGGGAAGAAAGAGTCAGAAAGAGGATTCCAGTGCTACTACACCAGTTGTTCCAAGTCTGGCAGTGGAGACAAAAGGAAAATGTGCTCAGGTCGAAGAGAAGACGGGTTGACAGTATCCAACTTATAGTCATTTTGTAGGATATCTAGGATAACATCTAGTGTGATGCGTTTGCCTGCAGGTTCATCTCTGAGAAATACCAAGTTGAAGGTAATACTCATAGTCAATCTATTCTCTCATTTTCAGATGTAAATTTTGGGAGAAACTAGAATTGGTTGCTAGTGATAGATATAGACTTCATAGAAATCAATCTTTGGTAAGGATGTTTACAAATTTTGTTCGGCCTTTTGGCTTTATACCCTTGCTCTCCTCTTTCCGTTGGAAGAGCTTACCATTTCTGTTGGAATAGTAGCATTATCTTTTTTCCTTCTAAAGTCCAGTGATGTTGTACATGATTTGTGTTTTACAGTACAATAACTTATAATGTATGTGCTACAGTTATGTGGACATTTCACTTCCAGATCTCTGAATGAATATTTCTCTTTGAAAACCAAATGTCTGTCTTCAATGAGAGAGACTTATTTTTTGTCTGCAATGGTGGTGTTGTGCCTTCTTTTATTTATACACTTCTTTTTGGGCTGAAATCTATCAATATGAAACACATTGGACCAGACTCGATTAATGGTATTGCAACATCACAGATCAACGTCAATATGGAATGGTGTTGAAAAAGTGATCCCCCATGACAGAATGTTGTCAAAGGCGGTCTGATCCCCCATGACAGAATGTTGTCAAAGGCGGTCTTCCAAATAATTTAGGGAATTCTCGTAATGCTTTTTTCTTGAAGCTTCCTTTTGGACACACCTTATCAGGAAGTATTCTTCGGAGCGTATTGTTTCATGTATATAATTAATTTTTTAAACCTCATTCAAGACTGTTTCATATTTTCTTAAACCTTCACAAAAAACTTTTCTTATTTAATTATTGTGTTTGGTCACAATTAATATGTACTTCAAACATCATAATCGTTCTAAATTAAATATAATGTATATCTGCATTTCTTTTCACTTATTTATATATTGGTTTTTCTTGTTTTGGTAATATAGAATCGTCCGGAAGAAAACTTTAAGAATCTATCAAACCTTGTATGGGAAAAACCCCGAGCTAGTGTAATATTTGGTTGGTTAAGTTTTTTTCTCGTTTAATGGTTGTAGGTATGATGCATCTTGATGTTATAAACACATCTAATGTATTAGAAATTGGTGAGCCGACTATTCTTAAACCTAATGTTGCATACATTGATGTTGAGAAATATTTTATCCCTAAACAAACATTTATGTTATGATATCATATGCTTATATGGGTCTGTTTGGAAGTTGGTAAGTTAGATTTTGAGATAGTTATCAAGAGGTCTGATTCTAGGCCTGATTTTGGTTATGATAAAAGAACACAATTTGTTGTGATGGATGAATCATGAAAGAAGTGGTGAGTATAAATAATCTTTTTGAAAGTTGAAATGTGATGACATTAGATCAAGGATATGTGAAAATGTGCATGACACATGATAAACAAATACATGTTATCTTTTATTGAAATGGTTGGTGTTACTTTTACAAAGATGACAATATTCAATTGTTTTTTCTTTTATGGAATATGAAAAAGGTGTATAATGTTACTAGGACTCTATAAGTGTACCATAATTTGTTGAATGACTTAGAAAATATGCCACGAGTGATCCTCACTGATCACGATACTTCACCAATAAATTTTGGTTAAAAAATATTTCCTACTTATACTTAGAAGCAGGAATAGTTCAGATCAACTAACAGGGACTTTCGGCATAGCCTACATAGACTTAGGTCTGACAAGTTTTTTTTTAATAGAAAAAGTTTAGACTTTTTTATAAGCATATTTAATTAAAAGACACGCCATAAAAAAAGTGTCTATCAAATCTGTCTATTTAAATAAATATGAATAGTTTTATTATTATATTATATTTTATACTTTGATTTAAAATACAAAAGTAAAGCTTAGTTATCTTGAAGAACTTATGAAAATAAGCTTAAAAAAATCTATGAACAATCTCATTAGTTGTTTTTATAAGTTCTCTTAAACAAATAGTATCACAAAACTCATGCGATTATGTAAACTCAAATAAGTCAATGTAAACAAACATTTAGTCTCATTGATCTTTCAATTTGTTAGTCCATTTAAACATTAGTTGAATGGATTATTTACAAATGTTCTAACAAAATAGGCTTTTAATTAGTCTATTAAGCCAATCAGGTTTTCGAAAATGTCATACTCATGCCTAAAACTAAGTCTATAATATGATACATGTCAGATTTAGGCTTTGAATTTTTTAGCAGGTCAAGCTCAAACTTGACAAAACTTAGCTTGGTTCATACTCTTTCCACACCTACATGTGTTTTATTGTGTAGGTATCTGTTATATCTCAATTTTTGACCTAAGATTCCACCATCTTTTGCATCATTTACATAGCATCATGAGATCATCTCATTCATCCTTGCATCACTAACCTCCTACAACTGTAAGGTGTTTGTGTTAAATCAAGGGTTCCAAGTGATTGATTAATCAGGGATTGGGTGTACCTCAACGATTCCAGCTTCTCATTCATTCTTAATGAGCAATTTATTTTCCTTCATCAATAATCAAGCTCAAGCGTGCATCATTTCAAGTTCATCAAGTTTCAAATTCATCTGCGTCTCAAATTAGGAATTTTGAACAAAGACGACTTAATGTTAACTTTTGACCTAAAACCTAATCTAAGGGTTTGAAACATGATTCAAGATTCCCATATGCTTCCTTATAATCATCTCATGTGTTCCAATTAGCTAAATAAGCTTGATCCATTGATAATTGGAGATTTGAAATTTATTTGATGAAATGTCAACTGCAAAGTCAAACTTTGACTTTTGTCATTTTCTGGTCAAACATGGACTTCTCAAGATAAAATTTCATGAAAATATGGTTTATAGTTGAATTTGATCAAGTAAAATCACAAAAATTGAGATAATTTACAAAAAGGGCAAGATCATGTTCAAGTAGCCAACTTTTCAATCTTGTAACTTCTAATCCAAGCAATAATTTTTCATGCCCAAGGGAGGTACTTAAAGATGGAATTTTCCTACTTCAATATTGTATAAGGAATTGACTCAAAATCTCATAATATTTGGAAGATATGAAGTGTTAAGGTTGAGGTCTCAAAGTTGTCAAATTGCCAAAACACTTATAGATTTTTCTAAGTGTCAAACAATTACAATTTTGAATTTTGATGGATGATTTTCTCCATGTTCCAATCTAATTTTCTTCAAGTGATCAACATGAACGTTGTAGATGATGGGACCATCTTTCCAATGACCCCGAGAACATGAATTTCTCTTGCTTGAGCACCAAGTTTCGAAGAGGAGAAGTAGCCATGGTGAAGTTGTTTTACAAGTCAGATTTGAGGTTCAAATTTATTTCTAACCAAATCCAATCCCAGAGATCTTTGATTACAGGCCTAGGATGCTTCTAAATCTCAATAAAATATGATCTTTACAGAGATTATTGATGCATTATCCAAGTGTTTAAAGCATTGTTTAAGGATTCATTCTATTTTGGGCATAAAGATTACACTTCTATTTTGATAAAGCTTGCTTTAATCAAAAAGTCAATGCATTAAGCTTTGCATTGTTCCCTATGATCACACTCAACACAAAAACTCAGAAGTAACACCCTAAGGCCTTCCTATTGTCTCATGAACTACTCAAGTTATGCATTGAAACTCAACCAAACCAAAACTCTCCAAGCTTCAATTCTGACCAGCTCTTAATCCCTCAACTTTCCCTATAAATAAAGGACTTTATCTCATTTCAAAACAGACCTTGATACACCTAGAATACCCCTGAAAACACTCACAAACTCAGAAGAGATTTTGGAAAATTCCATTAAAGCTCCAAAAACCAATTCTTCGAATTTCTCAAATCTCTCAAGTTCCTTGCAAACCAATCATATATTCACCATCCATACACCATATATAAGCTTCTGTATACAATATCTCATCACTGAAACCACCAAATCACTCCACCTGACTCGTGCTCATTCATCACTGCAACTTGAGTTGGTCAGAGAGTTTGAGGTAGTTTCAAAGCAAGCAAAAGGTGCCATTGCATTCCTAGAGGACCAAGGGTGCTAAAGAGATCATTTTCCACCATTTAAAGAGCTTGAGAATTGGCAATAGACCTGCTCAATTAGGTAAGATTTTGTGGACTTGGAACTTTATCTTACAAGCATCATTTTAAGCATTTCTTGATATCATTCTACTTGCTTGGATGCCATGAGTTGAAGCCCGTGAAAATGGGCATTGGTTAATCTCATCTGTCATTTAATTTAACTTTGAAACACTACTACAAAAAGTCGTTGTAACGTTGGACGCAAAATGCGTTTTACCTCGGCAACCCAAGCGGGGTTAGTAAGATCGTCATGAAAAGTCTCCACTTAATATCTCAATGTTTTAAAAACCAAGGTTAAAATTGAAAACATCATGGGTCCGATCCCTAGGAACTGCATATATATTTTATTTTCTACATTTTGTTGCGCGCTTCATATAGCTATCGGTTTTGTTTATATTCTGAGGTAGTAAGGTATTAATTTACCTAGGTTTTGGTTTTAGATAAAAACTGAGGGGTTTAATATGAAGTTTTTTGGCTATATTTATCAATTTCATTGGCCCCCTGTATCATTTTTTCCTGTATCGTTTTCACTGTCATGTATCATATCATTATAATAAATCTATTAGTCTGCCAATATTATTTTTTACACAGAAACTACAAAACATGTAATAGAATATCATATATCATTTCAAACCAAGTGTGAAAATTAACATTGTTATCATCAAGAAAAAATAAGAAAACCTCTGTTCATATACAAAATAATAAGCAACCAACATAAACTATTTTTCTTGCTCTCGAACTTCATAATGAGATAAGAAGACACTGGCCAATGTGATCAGATGTCATCAATTTCCTCTGTTGAATATGGTTTTTGGTTGCTAAGCTCCTACAATTAGAACAAAATTTAAACTATGATTAGATAAAAACAACAAAATTA